GATCCGTGCCAGGTGCAGGGTCTGCTGGCTGGGTGCTGGCAGGCTTGCACCTGGCACGGGCACCATAACCAGCCCATGCCCCTTTAAGGGGTCCGGGTCCAGGAGGGGGACAATAGAGTTTCCCTGGTGTTGGCCAGAGTGGCCACCAGGGAAAGCTGGGGAGGGCTAGCCTCCCACTAGTTCGAATTAAGAGGCTACACAGCCCTTAATTCGAACTAGTAAATTCGAACTAGGCTTAGTCCTCGTAGAATGAGGTTTACCTAGTTCGAACTAAGCGCTCCGCTAGTTCGAATTAAGTTCGAACTAGCGGAGCGCTAGTGTAGCGCCTATCAAAGTTAATTCGAACTAACGTCTGTTAGTTCGAATTAACTTTGTAGTGTAGACATACCCTAAGCTATCAGGTTGCAGGTGGTAATGTTGGGAGGGTATGTAACACTAGCTATGCCAGCTTTATACTGCTTCCTGATTCCCCCATGCCAGGGGAATCCCCAGGAGCCCAACTGATGCATCTTCAATTCTTCTTTATGCTAATAGAGTTATGCAGAAGGGGCTTAGCAGAGATGAGAATTTGGCTTTGAAAGTTTAGTCACATAGCATAACATGCTATTTATCCTATCCATTAGCCCCTGCCCTATTGGGAACCATTCAAAGTCTCAGTCCAATCTGAATAGGCCCTGCATCCATCCTTCTGTGATATATCTGCCAGATCTAACATGAGGAAACTTCATTGACAGCTGGCATATCACCCTGTCTGTGACACACCAGTGTCTAAGAATAGCTCATAGCTCCAGTCCCAGCTTTAGGGAAAAACAAGACAAGAATTTACAGCTGGGACAAGCAAAGGAAAAAGATAATTTTTAAAAATATATTGTAATAGGGCGAAATCATAGCTCAGAATGGGGAAGCAGGGTGGGGCCCAGCAGGCAGCTGGCGAAGATGAAATTGTATGGTTTTAAATATATTGGTGAAGTCACGGCTCAAAACAGGAAAGCAGCGTAGGAATTTGCAGCTAGAAGCGGGGAGGCAAGAGGAGGTCCCTGTTCAGGTTTTAAATATATGTTTCATTGCCGTTCAAAACAAGTCAAGTAGGTAGGGTTCTGCCGCTGGTAGGAGGATGAATAAATGCAGCATGTGGTTAGGTTGGGCTTTTTTAGGGAAATGTCATTTTAAAATATTCCCCTTGGCAGAAAAGCCCTGCCTACACTAGTGAGCCTCAGAGCCGTAATTCATGAGTAGTGCTGCTCCATTGGTGGGAGCTACAGTGTGGGCAGGTCTCAGACAATTTTGCCTCTGTGTCATCTAGCCCTGCTCACAGGATGATTAAACAACATGAGAGTAGAAATACCGTACCATGGAGCTGCACCAGTGGTGAATCCCAGTTATGAAGCTTGCTCTATAGACAAGGCCGGAGACAGAGAAGGAACCTCTAAAAGCAGCATTACAGGATTGTTTCTAAGTGAAAGATAAGCCTAGAACCTTCTCCAAGACTAGGAGGGCTTTGGGGTTCTTTGGCTTGACAAGCAGTAATGGAATAAAATGGTGATAAAATTAGGCAAGGCTTGAGAGAAAGTAAATGAGAAGAAAGGAGGCAAAGTCCATCATTATCATGCTGCTAAAGCTAATAGAACATTCAGGGCCTGATTCTGATCTCTGCTATGTTAGTTTGAGAGCAGAGTAAATTCATTAACTTTCATGGCAGATTAGAATCAGGCTCTCTAGTAATTGGCTGAGTGACAGATATAAATACAGGAGATGGATACAGGTGCAGACAATCATGATGAGCCTGAACTTGTCTGGATGTAAATCAGTACAATAGAAACCTTCTAAGAATAGCAATTCTTAATGTATTTCAGGTCCAAGCGAAAAGAAAAAAAATCTTTCAAAATGGCTCATCTTTTTTACTGTTCAAGATAAAAGATCCTGACTATATAGGACTGGTCTCATCAGAGGCTGAAATCTCTCAGCCTATAGCTTTCATGATTTCAGCACACTCAAACCCAAGCCTGAAGTTTCAAAGGGGCTGAGCCATGACTTCCCTCCCTGCAAGTTGAGGTTTAAAGGATTTCTGAATCTAGCTCAGACTCATTGGTGCCTCTCTTGTACACAGAGATTGGATAGAAAGAGAGACAGACACACTGTACTTTCTCATCGGTCACATTTTCCAAGCTTCACAACTCTTGCAGTTTCTCACTTTAAAACTAAACAAAACATGGTGGTGACATTTCATAAGAAAGCATTATGTGCCAGACTGGAGTGTTTCCAGCATCATTAGCTGTAGCCAAGGGCTGGCTATATTCCAACTGTGGGATGGACAAGCTTAACAAATGCCATACCATTAGCTCAGACACAGAAGTACTTTGCATAGTGTAAACTGCTCAGATCCAGCATCTAAAGCAAACACCTACATTCAAATCACAACAGTAAAATTTGCATGAGATCTGACTCTTTTCTGTAGCTTGAGTAATATGAGTCTATATTCAAAATGCTTAGATCTACTGTCCTTGGGAAACTTGATGTTTGAATGTTATTGCTTAGGTCTGTTTCTAGAATGTATACACAAGTAGAATGAAACATGTCACCAACAAAATGAAGGCAGGCTAAGCACATTATCCGTTGAATCAGTGTGAGCATTCAAGAATTTATTTAAACTTCTTTTTAGGATCCTTTTTAGAATCTAGAACACCTACTCAGGTAAATTTCTTAGACGGGCCAACGTCTTTTTATATATGAGTACAAATAATAATAATAATACCTAATAACACTGTATGGGCCTGCTTCTCATACTCATGTACGGTGTGTCTAAACTACATCCCTTTTCTCGAAATAAGTATGTAAATTAGACACTTCGAAATTGCAAATGAAGCCAGGATTTAAATTTCCTGTGTTTCATTTGCATAATGGCATCTGCGGTTTTTTTTTTAAAAGGTGCTTTTTGAAAGAAAAACCTGCATTTAGACGGGGATCTATCGAAAATAAAACCCTTTTTTGAAAGCTCCTGTACAAAAATGAGGAGTACTGGAGCTTTCGAAAAAGGGTTTTATTTTTGATAGATCCCCATCTAAATGTGTTTTTTATTTTGCAAAGCCCCTTTTTGAAAAAAAAAAAACATGGCCGCCATTATGCAAAAGAAGCACAGGAAATTTAAATCCCGGCTTCATTGGCAATTTCAAAGTATCTAATTTACATCCCTTTTTCGAGAAAAGGGATGTAGTTTAGACATACCTTTAGTGGTGTAACTTCATTTCCCCCTTTGATTTATACTGGAGTGAGTGTGATTTATACTGGAGTGACTATGGCTGTGTCTAGACTGGCATGATTTTGCAGAAAAGCATCTGCTTTTGCGCAAAATCTTGCCGCCTGTCTACACTGGCTGCAAGTATTTGCTCAAGAACACTGACTTTGTACTGTACAAAATCAATGGTTCTTGCGCAAATACACTGATGCTCCCACTCAGGGATAAGCCCTCTTGTGTAAGTATTCTTGCGCAAGAGGGCCGGTATAGACAGCAATGTTAATTTCTTTTGCAAGAAAGCCCGATGGCTAAAATGGATGCTTTTGCGCAAAGGCACATGCCACTATAGATGCTCTCTTGTGCAAATACTTTTAACGGAAAAACTTTTCCGTTAAAAGTATATGCACAAAATCATGCCAGTCTAGATGCAGCCTATGAGTCTGATCCAACTCTCATAAGTCAATGGGAACTGATCTGATCCTACAAGAGAAATAACATAAGTATCAGAAATCCTTTCTTCTTCACATGAAAATCTCTTAGTCTGATCACTGCTGATCCAGCTATCAGTCATGTATTGATTCTGCTGATCTAGACATTACTAACTATTTTGGGTAGTTGGAAGAGAAATCGAACAGTCCTTATGTTTCCAAAATATTTGCTATATCTCAGCAGAAGCCAGGCTGACACTTTTCCTTTCAAAATTCATGTTTCAGGCTATATACTGGAGTTTGTATATTGGATGAATAATTTACGGGATCAATTTTTTCTTATTTACACCAAGGAAACTCTATTGACTTCAGAAGGGTCATACTACAGTAATCAACAACAGATTTTGGTCTATTGTTTTTTAAACATAAGAATGAATGTAACCTTCTCTTTTCATCCTTCCTTCATCTCTGGGTGCAATCAGCCCCCACCCCCAGTCAATGTGAGTCAGCAGAGCCAGGATTTCACCCCTTGGCTATGTCTACCTTCGCAGCTTCTTGCGTGAGAAATATGCAAATGAGGCTAAGCGTGGAATATCGCCGAGTCTCATTTGCATATCTAATAAGCCGCAATTTTTGCAGAAGAGGCTCTTGCGCCAGAAGGAGCTGTCTACACTGGCTCTTGCGCAATGCCGCTACACTGATTATTTTCAGGAATAAGGTCATTGCGCAAGAGAGTTTTTCTTGTGCAAGAAGGGGCAGTGTAGATAGCTCCTTCTGGTGCAAGAGCCTCTTCTTCAAAATGGCGGCTCATTAGGTATGCAAATGAGGCTTGCTGATATTCCACGCATAGCCTCATTTGCATATTTCTTGTGCAAGAAGCCGCAAGTGTAGACATAGCCTTCGTGTTTCTATGTTACCAGTCTATAGTGAATAGTTCTGATATAGTGTGCAGTTTGCTTAACTGAACCCCTTTTCCTGTCGACTAACAGACACAGAGTGAGGCATCTACTCGCCTGTTAAATGTAAAACACATTGGATCTATATTTGTGTATTCTAATCTTTCTAGCTTTCAGAGCACTCACCCTGGAGTGGCATTAATGAATTCATTCAACATTATTCAGGCATTCTATAGTGTTTCCTTGGAGATCTTATTGCAGAGTTTATGGTATTTGATGGGTTTTATCAAAAATGAACCTCTGCAAGTAACATTTTCCAAGTCTGCCACTTCTATTAGGGTTAGGATCATACATGCATGACATACCTGTGTAAAATCTTTCTCTCAAGCAAAGCAAAACTGGAGGGTTTTTTCATTCTGTAATGCTTTGTTGTGAGTATTGGTCATACATGAAAAATGTTTTTCACATCTTGGTACTATTTTGGTGAACATTTTGCAAAAAATTGCTGATAGGCTTATGAAATTTTACTATAATTGTCAGACACAATGGTAAAACAGTGAAAAACACTGGTGAAACAAATTCAGTTGGGTTTTGTAAATATTTACACTGAAAATTTTATGAAACCACAAAACAAAAGTTTCACTCAGTCACATATAATGATATAAAATGATTAATAGCAGTTCAATGATTTGCAAATCAGATTTTAGCTTTTGGCTCAGAGCTAAGCCGCATTACAATGCAAACCTAGTACCAGCAACAACAGAAAGATAAGGGAACAAGCAATATTGTCAAATCAAGGGCTCTCATATGGAAAGGAATTCTATCAGCATGGAATCGTACGTATCTGATTTTTGTAATTTGATCAAAGTTTACATTACTCAATCTCCCTTTCATCTCAGTTGCAGTAAATAAATAGCTTCTCCCCTTTATTCGAACTGAGAAAGCTATGGGAAAGTGGTGTGAAATCTTGTTATGGGACTCAAATCTTCAGTGCTTCTGTATGTTCGGATATGTTGTTGTCGGATATGTTGAGGGTGAGGTGGGAAGGGCATATTGATAAGAAATTTCCAACCCAAGGAGTATGCCAATCTCAGCAAAATACAGCTTAGCTCACTTTTCCTTGTACAATCATACTGCCACACTAGGGAGCCAGATGCGTGACTATGGACGTCTGTGCCATGGAAGTTTGTACAGAGTTTCTGTTTGAACAGTCCCCTGGGGAAGGCAATGCTTTGCAACTTCTCTTGAAAGCAAACATCCTTTCTACTCTAAAGAGCCCACAAATGTTCCTTAGAGGATAAATGACAACAGCAGCAGCAGCAGCTGCAATATGTAGTCACTCCCTTCAACACCAGACGACGAGTGAATCTTTCATGTCCACCCTGATTTATCACTAAATATCAGCCTGTCTCTCTCTCTCCTGCAGAGATCGGATGAGAACATCAGTAAATGTAGTGGGAGATTCTTTTGGTGCTGGCATTGTGTATCACCTTTCCAAGGCCGAGCTGGACAACCTTGATTCCCAGCATAAGGTGCATGAAGACATTGAAATGACCAAGACTCAGTCAATTTATGATGACATGAAAAATCATAGGGAAAACAACTCAAACCAATGTGTTTATGCAGCTCACAACTCTGTCATAATAGATGAATGCAAGGTACCGTTCACATTTATGGATATTGAAACTTGTATATAGCAGTGCATGCTTAATTTTACTTCATTTTTAACCTGCATGTATTTTTTTAAAATTGTTTCACAAACATGATGATCTCTGTGAACCTCAGACATTTTAAGTAAGTTTAAGAAGTTAAAAAGATGTTTTACACTCTTCTTAAACATGGCATTTGAGGTGAACAATCATATACAATGTTTACATATCAAAAACTAAGGGATTATGCAGAGTATTATGGAATACTACAAGACACAGAGAGAATATGGCTATATACCAAGTTTCCTTTGTTAACAAAGCGTATTGCTTCTCAAATGAAGGCTAGCTGCAAACCAATTACCAGTATTATTATTTGATGACAGTCTTAAATGATATGCCATAAAGAGACACATGGAGTTAAATGCACCATATCAGCTGATTGCTCCTGCGCTCATACACTGCCTGTATGCTTTTTCTTTCATCATCATTCTGGGTAGCCATTGTAAAAATACAAACATTGCAATTTCTGTCTAATCTTCACTGTAGCTAACTTGGATTTTAAAAAAGAAAGAAATGTCCTGATTAGAGTGAAGCGAACTTCAGAAACCTCACCAGTTGAATGAAAAGCTAGGCTGAGTGATTTGTATAAAAAGGTTTGCCAGGCAACCAGCACTAGGAGGGGCCTGATTAAAGTCAAAAGAAAATATTTAATTGAAAAGGGAAAAATTAAAAACAAATAGTTAATTTTCATGATATGGTCATTTTTTTCTTTAGTTGATTTTCCAGCTCCTCCCACCTTCTTTTACCTAAAGTGACCTGTTCCGTATTTCATCTAAACATGGCTAGATTTGCTAGTCAGTCAACCACAGCCAGTTATTTGTGCACAGAGATAAATACTTGTGGATTCTCTGACTTCCTCAGGTCTCAACAACAAATTTAGAATAGGGCCCTGAGTCCCATTTCTCAATCATTGCTCCTGTAACAATCCCATTGCTAAGTCACCATAGACTATGGAGATGAAAAATAATTACTGGTATGTAATTTTCTCTACTTTTAAACCATAGACTATTCTACTCAGTCCATTTTTTTAGTGGTTTGTCCTATTCAAAAATAATATTTTCCCTTAAGTTTTGAATAAACTTTTTCATTTTGTTAACATTTTTTTCAAGTTTTATTTTATTTTTATTTTTATTTTTTTTGGTGAAGTTCAGCTGAATGAAAATGTTCATTTTGAATAAAAAATCATTTTTGTTTTAGTTTTCAGTTGGGGGGGTATTTTCCCCTTTCCTATCTCTTCCTCTCTACTCTTTCTTTTTACTGGAAATTCAAGAAGAACATGGGAGGAAAGGAGAATAAAGGGCAAGAAATAAAAATGTGAAAATTGAAACAACGTATTTTTATTAAAAATAGTTTTTTTGTCTTTTGAAAGAAAAAAGTATGACAATATTTTTATTTTTAAGACTTTTTGTAAAAAAAAATACACTTTTTTTTTTGCCAATTCTAGACTTTCATCCCTTTCTTTGAAAAATAATTTCAGTCTGCTAAAACCATTCCTCTTCCTAAATAGGTGGAAGGAACAAATTATCTTGGATACTTATGATCAGACCTGGAATTTAGTTTGGCTTGACAATTACTTGCTGATTCTATTGGATTGAATGTTCTTAAGAAACACATGAAGATATTCTAATGTAGGCTTCAGTTTGGACTTGATTTTTAAAAGGAGTTTGGAACTGGCAACATTTTAGCACTTCTCAGGTCCAGTGCCTCTTTCATCTAAGAGATACCAACAAGTCATACGTTACTGGCAGTATTCCAATTCTTAAAATTTTTCCAAACACAGTGGGATTTTGAAGTTTAGGTCATTACTTGCAAGAGATGCTCCAGTGACATTGCTATTTTTAAAGGTGGATTTTTTACTGGAGAGATCCTCAGAGAAACTGGATTGAGCTGCAAAGGTTCCTAATTACAAGAGCTCACAGACCCCAGGGAAGCAGGACTTTTCCTTCTTTCACTCTACCAATGCTGAGAGAGCCAGGTTTTCCCTTCTGCTAATTTTCATGCCATCTCTCCCCCACCTCAAAGTCTCTTTTAAGGATCTCAGAAGGGAGTGATGGAGACACCATCCCCTCTTTTTTTTTTTTTTAACCAGTTAGATCTAATTTCCAACTCACCGATTTTGGTTCATTGTTTTCTGGTCCCACTGTCCTTGTTTACCAGGCATGACACTTAAGACGGTTATTGAATTATATCAGTATGCACTTTTTGTTCGGACACCACTGACTCATAAGCTAACGAAGTTTGACACTTGTCATTGTTTTATATTTGCTCTTCTTTGGGAGCCTAATTAGTACATTCAGTTGTATGAGAAGAACCATGGTCTAGCAGAGAAAACAGGACTGACTGTGAGCAAGTTGCTTGCCTGAGTCAGTGTCCTCATGTGCCAAATGGGGATAATAATACCTACCTACCTCACAAAGGTGTTGTGAGGGTTAGTAAAGCACTTTGAATCTGTAAAGTGCTCTATAACTGCCATGTATTTTGGTGGTGGTGATGATGTAGCTATCAGGCTCCAAATAGCAAGGTCATGAGCTTGGAGAAAGATTTCCTTATCCTGAAGAATTCACTGGAGAGGAGATATGTTCGCTGCAACTCTGATCAAAGTATTGAAAAGCTAATATATTAATATGTCATCTCTACTTACTTCCTATAGTATAGTATACTCCAGATAATTCAAGCAGTTTATAGTCTTGTGCAGCCATTGTATATTTATAATAAGTAGGCTATTTTTATGTTGGTGTATAGTGACTCTTATTGCATGTTATTTCTCTATTTTTATGATCACATTTCACATTGTGTGGCTTTCAGTTCCAAATCTGTTGTTTATTCTTGTAACTGCATGTGTTTCCCTTCCAATTATCTATGAAAAGGGTTGGCTTTGTTTTAAACAGTGGTGCATTTTTAAAATGTCTCCCTGTCCCAATGCTTTCATACATACAGTTTACCCACCATGTGGAATATCAGTCTTATCTTTAAGTTTTCTTATGAAGCTGAGGACAGTGATTTGGAAGGTAAGCTAGGAAAGGATAGGCCTTCCATTTAGAATTAGAAGAAAGATTCCCATGTAATCTATGGGACTATGTAAAGGTCCAGTTCATTTTTCTCAGTCAAACAAAATCTTTAGCATGAGCCATGCACGTATCCTTGTTAAGGATTTCACATGGGTATTTTTATTCCGACTGTTGAGATGTAACACAACAACCAGTGTCTCCCATGAACCGATAAACCATTATTGGTCTTTCACCGTACTTACCAAATTAATATTGTAGCATGAACCTTTAAATGCTACAATGATGTTATTGTTGTTTTTTGCATAAAATAGAGTATTACTAATAATTGTTTGGCCTGATTGCAACTGAACCTTTCACATGCTCGAGTAGAAATAGCGGCACAAGGAATAATGCTTTACAACATGCCTGTGGAGCAGCTATTCTGCCATTTTCTTTGAAGTTTTTGTAATGTGCATGTATATATGTATTCACATTTCTCAATCATTCTGTCTTTTATGTTCCTCTATGTCCTCCAGCAGATGTCCCGCAACACAGATCAGTTCTCTAGGAAAATTTTTTAGTTCGAGTAAACTCTTCTTGCAAATTAGCAAAAATTTGTAAATAACAAGACTATCTATATGTATAAAATATTTATGAAAACTAAATTATTTGAAACAGTGAAGGGAAAATGAAATCCAGAAAACATGGATCATTATTTACTTATGTTTTCTAGCCAGTATTTAAATTACCCCCTCATACACATTTCTTCACACTTTGGGGACTTGGTAAATTATGAATAAATATATATAAAATACATATATATATTCACACATGGAGTATGTTATTCCTAGAAATATCATGGTTCTCCATATAACTCATAACTTTTCTTTTCTAAGTGCCTTGGTCTTTAAGTTAGATGTCAATGATAATTACTTGCAGGTGACACTGGCAACCAATGGCAAATCTGCAGACTTCACTGTTGTTGAGGAAGAGCCTTGGAAACGTGAAAATTAAGGAAAGAGAGTCCCATCTCCACCTTTAATAACCCCTTGAAGCTATCTTATGGTAAAAGATATCAAGATTAAAGAATATTTCTCTATTTATTTAACATCTAAAGTTTCTGCTTACTCAATTTGTTAACTTGAAACTTAGCAAAGATCTAAAAGTAATTTTAGCTACCATGTTTTTGCCAAATAGTGATCCATAGCAATCTGTCTCAGTTGTACTATTTGAATGGATGCCGCTGGAGAATACTCAGTGAGTTAAGAGATGTTCTTACCAGCCTCTCCCGTTTGCTCAAGATGCAGAAAATGTAGATGCTGCAAAATGGAAAGTTCAAAAAGCCAGTGTGGCTTTCTCCAGGGACTCAGGGTAATGAACAAGTATCCTATAAACCTTAAAGTGTTCTCAGTGTCTCTTCTTGTGATGTATGTATGAATCAGAACTGCGGTCAGCATTATGTAACTACACTATTTATTGTGTCTCTAAAGGTTTTCTATACGTTTTACAGATAATTTGTAGCTGGCATGAGGGACTCAGAATTTTCATCTTCCAGGCGTACTTTAAATTGTTTCAAATATTTCATTTAGATTTTGGGGAATAAATTCACCCCAGGAGTAACTTCATTAAAATCAATGGAATAAATAGAAAGGGCCAAATTCTGACACCCTTTCTCACATGGTGCCAGACTCTGATGCTCTCTTCAAATCAAATAGGACCCTACACCACACGTAATCTCAATGAAACTTTTCAAGGAGAACAGTGTTATTTGATTTAAGGAAGAGCACCAGAATCGGTCTGTGAATGATTATTGAACATTCTCTTTGTTGAGATGAACAATTATATGTAATAGAGTGTTAACATTTAATGGTGCTTAGTGCTTAGCATATGTCAGTTTGTTAACCAAGCTAAACTAAATGTATATTTAGGACACTTAATTTGAAGTGATAACTATTTTTCTTAAATACATTTTACTTTTGAGCCAATGAGCTAAATCCTGAAGTCGTTACCTGGACAAATTTTGATTGAAGTCAATGGGAATTTTGCCAGGGCTAGGACTTAGTGAATGGTAAACCAGAACTTCAGGATTCAGTTTAATAACTTGAATCTCCATCTTTCTATTGTGAAGCAACAATTTGTATAAAATTTAGATAAGCTATGATTCTAGACCACATGGTATATGAATAAACAAGGCAGAGTTCTGTTAATACGGTATAACTAATTCATTCATCTGTAAGATGTAGAAGTGCAATAATGATTCTTTTAGGTTGTTTAAAAGATGCTTGTTAAAAATCAGTGCTTGTAAAGACATAGATAAATTCTGCTATGAAATTAATAATGTTTTACAGCAAAGCTGATCTGGGTAATCTTGGGAAACCTTGCCCTCTGAACAAAGATTGTGTGGCATGTTGTGTTTTCTTAAAATGTTCTCTAAAATGCCCAGATTATGATCTCATAATTAACATAACTACAAGATGAAATGAGAAATGAAGCACATATGAACATATATTTCTTTCTGTCCATGTGCAGTGCTGCTATTTGTGTATACAAAAATAACATATGTGAATGTAGAGTTTAAACAAGAATACAGTCTGATTTTGCTAATTTGTACTCATGTTAGCTGTTCCACTGAAGTCACTATGGGCCCATGCTAGTAAGGACTACTCACCTGTTTAATGGTTTGCAGAATCAAACTTATTGTCAACATATTTACTGTTCAAATATTTGTAGTTGTGCAGTATTTTCTTTGGGAACTTTAGTGGTCTTTTGACATCCTCATGCTGCTTCACTAACTGAAACATCTGAAAGAATTTAATACAGTAGTTGTTAAACTACTGTGAGTACTTAAGACATTATTCTGGCAACCTAAAAAATTAATAAGATTTAGTCCTTTTCTGTAGGACTTTTGTACCGTTGAATAATGTATCAGGGATAGAATTTCTATTCTATAGAGAAAAAAGTTATTTTCTACTTGATTCACTTAGGACTTCATCATTCGTCAGTCTTTAATAATTTTAGTATTTGAAGGGACCTAATTTTATCTTCTCCTCTCCCTACATGCATGCATGCACACAAACACAGGCACACATACACTTCTTGGATCTCTTCTTTCATTTTAAAGAAGAAGTTACAGCCAGAAAAATGGAAAGACTACATCTTGTTCAGTATACAGAACTTCTCAGGATCCTAGTATGGATTTGAAGAAGAGTTCACATCCCTGACACCCCTCCCCTCAAAGAAATAAAGTGACCAAGACAGCACTAGCACACTCTAAAATGAACTCTATTTAACATAAGGGCTTCTGGCTCACCTCAAATGAAAGTCACAGAGAGCTAAGTGGCAATTGCATAGAGTGACCATTTTTCCCAAAGAGAAAACAGGACCTTCAGCTTCTCACCTGAGACCTCTTCTTTCCACACAAAGCTGTTGTCTGTTTCTGGTGTCCTGCAGGGCCTCATCAGGAGACCGTTGGCTGGAACCCTGAGAGGCGGGGGTGGAGATTCCCTCAGGGGGCTGTTGCCCATGCCTGAAACCCTGCTGGCTCCCCCCACATGCAGTAACACTTCTTGCCCTCTCCCCCAGATCTGCCTTCCCCATGAGGGGGTGAGGAAGGGGCTGGCATCTCTGCTTGCCTTTTCTGTATCACAAGCCACTTATTTGGCAAAAGAAGCCATTTGCCCCAGTTGCTTTTGCTAACTGATTGTGCCAGAGCATATGGTACAAATTCTTCCTCTTAAAAAAAAATTGGGACTGCCAGTACAGGATTTACTTAAGGGATAATCCTGGCCAAAATGGACATATGATCACTCTACAATTGTACCAAAGTAGAACATTGTGTTGTAATACAGAGCTTGGGTTCTCAAAGACTTTCAGAACATGACACATATTTTAGAGATTTGCTCTCCCAAACCATCTCCGTCATATTTATTATAGCCTAAGTTCCCTGTGGCAGCTACAACAATTGTTTACAGAGAAAGGTAACATTAGGAAAGTGTTTAGTATATTTTTAAGCTGTCTGTTAAACAGTATAGCTGGAAACAGGTAAGAGAGCCAGCACCATGTGACTAATCCACTCCTGGTTCAGAATATCCTACCTTTCACTTATCTGATTTGGACATTTTTCCCTTTATAAAATGTGACGTTTCAGATGGGGCTAGAAGAGGTGAAAATCTAGATCAACTCTACCCAGGTACAGAGAACAATTTGGGGCTTTAGTTTTGACTAAAAAAGCAGATTATAGGACTTTTAAGTAAGACTTTATAGCTGCAGTAACTCAGGGAACTTTCTAAAGATAATTACCATGTCGTTCTTCTACTTATAATATAGAGATGTACTGCTTATGGAAAATACTTTGGCTATCTCCCAGGCTGAAATCTCCCATGTAATATTTAATGTGTAGCTACTCTGGCACAATACTGAATTAAACTATCAAAAAACTTTTCTTTTGTTGGGGGAAAATGTAACTCATACTTGGCTCGCAGCTAGTAATTTGCTCATTCCACATGAGGCTGGGTTGCTGCTTAACTAAACAAACAAGAATAAAACCAGTAAATGTCCACTTGAGCAAATACAAATTTCACATTTGAGTGGATAATGCTTGTCACTGTCACATCTTCCTTTATTAGGAGCTTTAGACATTATTTTACATCTGGTCTTCAGAGAGTTCTCTTCCTCTACTCACTTTCCCCCCATTGTTTGGATGGCAAAACTCAGGGATGTGCACAAAGTGAAGCAGCACATGCTCTGAGCTATTTTCACATGAATTGAAGTTCCTTTTTTACAGTAATTTCCTTTGCTCAGCTCTCAGCCACTCCCCTGTTGCTTACAGAAGTATGATATATGTATACCATCTAGAATATTGACTTCATCAGTGGAACATGGAAAACCTTGATGCTAGTAAGTATTCTTAGCCAGGAAGGCATTTAAGCCCCCAGTTAAAATTTAGCAGCACATGCTTTTCTGAATAGCACTGTACTTAAGTATTTACTTGAGAACTTTGCTGAATGAGGGTCATTGCGCTGTCAGTGTTTGTTCTGATGCTACTCTTCCAGGCTCAGTGCTCGCTAGTTAACTTAGGGGAACAGTTTGCTTCTGAATTTGTTCCTTCTTCAGTACAGGCAGTCCCCGGGTTACGTACAAGATAGGGACTGTAGATTTGTTCTTAAGTTGAATCTATATGTAAGTCGGAACTGGCGTCCAGATTCAGCCGCTGCTGAAACTGACCGC